GCGGCCCTGTAGCTGGCATGCTGCGGACTGGTGCTGGTCCACGGACTGGGAATTGGGGACCCCTGCCTTAACCACTAAACCAAAATGACTATCACATTAAATATTCTAGACAACACTAATAAGCAAACTTTACTATTTGCTGAATTTATGGTTTCTCTAAAAGCATAACAAGAACACTTTTTTCGGTTCATTTAAAAGAAACGTTCAGATAATAATAATTTATTAAATTTGTATGCCAACCAACTCTTAACGACTCTGAGCAGAAGAGAACCCTATCTATAAATGCTAATCTTAAGAACTCCAGCAATCTAATCCTCATGTTTACATTCAAATCTATACCCGTGTGGTCGTCAGAACCCACTGGAGCAAAGTAACCAAGTCAATGGAAGGGCAAACTGTATTTCATCCAAAAAGTGAAAGTGATCTTCACAGAAATTAATCCTCACCCCTGACGTCATCAAGCCTAACCCTTTCAAGGAAGACAATTGATATGAAAGCCTGAAATGAGATCCAGAGAGAAGTTCCCACCCGCTCCCGCACCGCCTCCCAGCTACTGAATCCCTTGCACAGGAAAAAAAAAAAAAACAAAACATTAAGCTACAATGCCTTCCTAGCTTAGAATGGTTCGTCCCGCACGAGTCATCCCCCTGCCCCAAACATTGGTTTCTCCCCGCCCTGTCCGCGCCCATCGTGACATAAACACACACGCTGAATGGCTCCGGAGCACGCCTCTTTTCCCCTCCCACACCCCGCCTCCGCGCCAATAGTTCCTGCCCAGATCCACTGCGCTCCCCTCCCCCACGTTCCCCCGCACTCCCCGAATGGTTCCTTCCGCACCAGGCCCAGCAACTCTTTCTCCAGTCTTCTCCACCGCGAGCGGCCCCCCGGCGCGCCCTTTCCTTCCTTCGCCGCTTCCCCACCCCTGTCGGGACAATACTCGGGCCGCAAACATGGCGCCCGCCCAATGCCATCCTGCCCTCGCACTCTCGCCCCAGCGGAGCCCACTTAGAGGCTGTGCCAGAGCCGGCCAGCTTTTCCCCCGCCCGAGATCTTCAGCGCTCACCTGAGGGAGCCGCAAGGACGCGGCTGACAGGCCCTCCTTTTTACGCGAGACGCCGAGCTGGGTCTGAACGAATGGCGGCGGAAGCGCTCCTCCGTTTTTTTAGCGCCCGGCGGAACGGAGACCGAGGCGGCAGCGGATAGTCCGCGCCGTCGCGGCCGCCCGTGGGCTCCCGGTTGTGGCGGCGGAGGGGTTGGTGGTGGCTGGATCCGGCTGCAGCGACGCATTCGGGGCGGGAGGCGGAGCGCGTCGCCAAGGGCCGCAGTCCGGCTGCGGGTTGGGTGCGGAGGCGCCCGTGGTCGACAATCCTCCCCTCCTCCTCCCCCCCTCGGCACAAACAATGCGGCGGCTTCACCACAGCGCTCGCGCCGGCGGGGGAGGGGAGGGAGGGAGCGCGCTGGGGGGGAGGAGGAACAGGACGTGAGGGCGCCAGGCACCTCCCAGCCCCGCGGACGACGCCGACGCAAACGACAAGCCGAGACGCCGCGCGTTTTGTGGGCGGAGCCAATGGGTCGCTTTCCTTCCTCCCCCCCCCGCGTGAAGTTCGTCACCCCTCTATCAGCCAATCAACTTGGGAAAGTTTTAAGGTTTCCCCTCCCCCAAACATCTCTTGGCGAACGTAAACTGTGCGTCTAGATCGGGGAACCGGAGTTCTCGCGGCTTAGGTTGGTTTGCTGTTTGCCGCCTCACTAATAAAACTTGCCGGCTGAAAAGCAAAACGACAGTTGGAAGCCAGCGCTCTCGGTGTGGTTGACTGCCATTTTGGTTCACTCTTATGAATCCCCCATCATCATTAAAGGATGATGGCTCGGGATTAATTCTGGTTTGCTGGCAAGAGACGCGGATTGTAATATGTGAGCAGGGACTCCCGCATTTCTCTTGCCAGAAGCCATTCTCTTTGCTTCTCCCTATGGTAGAGTCTCTGCAGGACGTCGGGGTCTTATGTTAATAAAATTCGTGTGTTTAAGTTCCAGCTAGTATTGGGTGGCTGCTAGTCATTTTTTTCAATTAGCCTACCCCGCAGGGTTGTGGGGGTAGAGAGTAAAGGAGATGATCTTGACAGAAACGTGCAAGAACATTCACTTTAGTAAAATGGGATAAAACATTGTTTTGATTGTGGGAAGGAAGAATAACAGTGTTGCTCAAGCAAAAACTTCCGTGTCTAGGTTAAATTTTAAATGGCCAAAATGAAGCCACCTTTCTGGATTTGTTGTTGGGCAAAAATAAGTCATTATCGGTACATGTTTCTGAAGCTGACATATCAACAAATGGGTCAGGCTCTGCATTTCCCCACATTTACACAACTTACCAGCTTAAGAGCATCTACTTGAGCATATTGGTTTTACACTCCAACTCTCAACCTATTCAGGGTTCTCCAAGTAGTATAAGGGAGTGGGATATTTCAGCTAGGTCCTCCTTAATGTTACTCCTTGCTTGACAGTCTCCTTCCTCCGTCTTTTAATTCGATGCTGTTCTTCTGTTTCCTCAAGAATATTTGTCCTTGCCATAAAGCTGTTCCCAGATCTGAGTTGGCTGGTTTAGGGCATATGTCCATTCAGAGGATGTTGAGGGTCACTCTTGCTTAGTTCATTTGGCATCTGCTGCAAACTCTTTCCTGATCTTAGATGGGACAATGCCAGCGAAAGGATATATTTTCTCAATTGGTATAGGTTTGAGACATCCTGTCACTAAGCGTACTACTTCTTTGATGGTGATTCATCTTGTTTCACATGTGCAGATGTACCTCACATCGGAGCAGCATACTCTGTTGCAGAGATGCTCAAGGCCAAAGCTAATATGCACAGTGTAGATCGGGTGTCAAACTCAATTTCATTGAGGACCATATCAGCATTGCGGTTGCCCTTGGGGGTGGCAGGTGGGTGTGGCCAGGGTGGGTGCGGCCTACTGGGTGGACGTGGATGGAGTGGGTGTGACCAACTGGGTGGGCATGGCCAGCTCTACATCATTCGCATCAAGGGGGCCTGTGGGGGCCTGGGCAGGAGTGGGACAGATCTGAGGGTCTCTGGCAGAAGGGGGTGGGACCGGGGCAAGCGCCAAGGCATGGTCCATTTCTTCATTCCTCACAAAGCAGTGGTTCTCAACGTTTGTGTGATGGCGACCCCCGTCACACAAACGTTATGCGCATGCGCGGCGGTGCACGCATGGGGGCGCCCCCCATATGCAGCGTGCATGCACGGCACCCCATGTGTGGAGTGCATGCGCGGGGCCATGCGTGGTGTGCATGCATGCCCCCATGCGCGGCGCGCATGCGCGGCTGCGCCCCCTAAGGGGAGAAAATGGCGGATCGCCGCCTTTGGCGACCCCCGAAAAATGGTCGATCGACCCCAAATGGGGTCGCGACCCATAGGTTGAGAACCGCTGTCACAAAGGGTGACACCTCCCCACCATGCACCCAGGGTCTGGTTCCTCGCTGTTTCTAGATGGCCTTGTGGAGCTAAGACTGAATGCGTTTCAGCATAGATGGCCACCACAAAATTATACATTGGCTCCCGGCCGGCCTGGGCCAGGGCCAAGGCAGCGGGGGCAGTTCCCTCACTGTTTCCAGGATGGCTTCGTGGGCCACATGAAACCACTTCACGGGCCGCATCCGACCTCGGGCCTTGTGTTTGACATGTCTGGTGTAGATGGTTGAGTTCCCATGTGTAGTTTTATCAATTTCCTGATATTGTTCCTTGAGCTGACTTTAGCCTTGGTGTTCAGCAATGCTGTTTAAAAGACAGTGTCATGCCGAGATACTTTGGTGTTTGATAGTGCTGTAGTCAGTCCCCTTGCATCTCAGTTTCAGAGGTAAACAGATAAGACATCCCCCCCCAAAATAAGACCTGATCTTATATATTTTTTGCCTCCAAAAGAGGCACCAGGTCTTAGTTTGGGGGGAATGTCTTATCTGTTTACCTTAGGACTGCCACAGCCAGGCCTCCCACACCCCGACACCTGTCGCACTGCTGCCTGAGTTCTGTGGCTGCTTGCGGTTGCATGCCACTTAGCACATTGTGCCAATTGCGAGCTGGCACAATTGGTGCGACGAGCCTTGCAGCCTGCCAATGTACCACATGGCCTCCTGCAAACAGTAGCAGCAGCGGCGCAACGAACCTTGTGGCCTCCAGTTGCAAGCAGCCGCAGCGGTGCGATCAGCATGATGAGCCTCATGGCCTCCTGCTGCGATCGATGCGGTACATGGTGTGCAGCTGCAGAACTCAAACAGCAGCATGACAGGTGTCAGGATATGGGAGGCCTGTATGCAGTGGTCCTAAGGTAAGTGTGCGTGGGATGCATGGGGCAGCTCCACCCACCCCCTACTCTAGCTTGATTTTTACGCATAAACCTCACCCCAAAACTAGGGCTTATTTTGGGGGTACAGCTTATATTGGGTGCATGGGTAAAAATCAATAAGACATAGGTCTTATTTTCAGGGAAACACAGTACTTGGATCTTGTTTGGGTTGGGCTTTAAATTGTTGATGGTGTAATATTGTCCTAATTCTTCAATAAGAATTAGGATAATTAGTATAAGAAATCTATCATAGGTTACCCTGCTACCTCATCAAAAGTTGATCCTCATGAAATCACTGTTATATCATCCACACAGATGAATAGATGTGTGTTGTTGGAGACTGGTTGTTCGTTTGTATATTATGTTATACAATCTTTTAGTACAGTAGTTTCCTGTGATATAATTAAATTATTTAAATGAAACAGCAATTAAATGAATTAGTTTTTTAAAGCTAATTCTCCCCATTACATAATTAATTTGCTTTGAGGCTATTGCAGAAAGTGCCTGTAACAGGTGGTAGTCTTAGAAAAACTGCAATATTTGATAAGTTTATTTTGAATCGATAAACAATGACATATAAATGGTACATATTCTGACCTGCAGAAAGATGTTTTATTTAACTTTCTATCATGCAAATCTTCTCTGTTTCTGCTTAGAGGTAAATTGAAACATACGATATGACCAAGAGTCAAACTATTCCATGCAACTTTATGCAGATAATATGAAGAGATGTTATACTGTAAGCAGTGGTGGGATTCAAATATATGAACAACCAGTTCTCTATATGGATGCCACTTCCTGAAGTCCATCCTGGAAATGGGAAACAAAAAGTTAGTTACCGGTTCTGCCAAAATGGTGCAAACTGGCTGAATCCCACCACTGTTTATAAGGATAAGCCAGTGTGAAATTAAAACATAAATACGTGACTATCTTCATTTTCATTTTTTTTACAAAATCCTGTCTATTATTATTATGTATATTATGTAATAATTATACATGTATTTAGGTATGTATGTATGTATATGTATACATGTACATATATGCCTAATTTTCTTAAAAAAACCATTTGAAGTCACTTTAGAATATTGTACTGATCAAAATAAGGCAGCGATTTTAGTTGTATAATCGGGTGCTTCTTTCAGCTAGTCAAAAAGAAAGTTTGCATTGAACAAATGATTCAAATCTATTTTGGCAAAATTGATCACTCAATCAAACTTCACCCCAAAAATCTTTTAAAAATGACAAGGAAAATGTCTGAAGCTGGAAAACAACTATCTATATACTACTAAAACTCTCATCATGACCTTTAGGTGGAGAAGTGCTAGAAGCCAACAACTTTTGAACCAGGATACCTAAAATGGGCTTACAGAATGTGTCCAAAATCCATGACCCAATGAAGCATGTGTTGTCTAGTATTAGTGAATACTATCTTCATGTTACAATATAAATTTTTTGTTTGGAGTCTTTATTTTTATTGTAATTACAGTTTAAGATAAATGTTAAATTAAATGGCCCTTCACTTTTTATTCTTCTTATTTCTTCAGTTTCTACCTACCCAACTTAGATGTTCAAGATGAAGAATTCCTTTTTTGCATGGATGTCATTCTATCAAAAAAAGCAAATCACTGGATATAGGTGAGAACTACACAAAAAATGTAAAATTTATCAGGATGAATTAAAATCTAGCAACATAATAAAACAAATTTTAACAAGGACTCTTTGAGCTAGATTGTGATCACAATACACATTTACAGCCTTCCTGAAATTTTTGCAAAATGTTCCTACTGTGATCAATTGTTCAAATAATAGATCTGCATATCTGCAGGTTTTAAAATATGCAAATTATTTGAGAACAAAAAAAATACAATATTACCCTCCATAAAATGACATTCTAAAAAACAGAATATTCATTAGAGAAAATATATTAAAAATTAAGAAAATATTATGCACTTTTACTGAAATTGAAAATACCTAATTAGAGCTGTATAGAAACTGTACTAAGTAAAATAACCCCTTTACTTAACGCTAAAGTTTACATTTCAATAACTACAGTTATCAGGTTTCCATGTATTAGGAAATATATTTAAATACAAATCCATGTTGTTACAGTCACTCATGCCCTTGTCACCTCACACCTGGACTACTGCAACACGCTCTACATGGAGCTACCCTTGAAAAGTATTTGGAGACTACAGTTGGTCCAGAATGCAGCTGCACGAGTGATAGCGGGTGTTCCTCAGTACACCCATGTTACACCTATCCTCCGCGAGCTGCACTGGTTGCCTATTGGTCTCTGGGTCCAATTCAAGGTGTTGGTTATTACCTTTAAAGCTCTATATGGCTCAGGGCCAGGCTATTTGCGAGACCGCCTACTACCTTATAGTTCCCTTCGTCCGGTTAGATCCCATAGGCTGGGCCTCCTTCAGGTCCCGTCGGCCAAGCAGTGCCATTTGGCGGGGCCGCGGGGGAGGGCTTTCTCTGTGATGGCGCCCACGTCTTGGAACCGCTCCCACCCTGTTGGTTTTCCGCAAGCTGCTTAAGACCTGGCTTTTCCGGCAGGCCTGGGGTTTATAAAATCTGACCCCTGGATGAATGTTACTGTATTATTTGTCTTGTTAAGTTATATTGTGTTTTTATTGTTAGCCACCCGGAGTCCTGCGGGAGTGGGGCAGTTTATAAATTTTAATAAATAAAATAAATAAATAAATTTAATCAATATTAATTGAAATACATTTCTAAATGTTCTTTTGAAAAGTGTCCAAAGCTGCTTAGATATCCCAGAAAGTAATAGCACACAATGAAATACATTTCACCAAAGAAAATCTAATATTATAATAAATTTTCTAAATATTATCAAAATTCATTCACACCACTTTGTTGATTCTGTAATTGTTTCCAGACTTTCTTTTTCTTTCTCACTTTGTAAATTTGGGGCATTTCAGAATTAAGTGTTAATTTTCAGTTCGCATTATTGTATCTTTTAAATAATGCTTTTGATTTTGAAGTGATTGTGGATGTAGTGCATCTTTACACAGCAAAGATCACTGAAGATGAAAAGAGAACCATACTTTCTAATTTATAGGATTATTTACATTTTTAAAAGTTCAATAGTTACCTTTCCTACCACCAACAAAAAGGCTTACCATAAAAAGAAAGACTATGTGACAAAATAGGTTGCAGCTTAACTACAGAGCAGAGGTAGTTGAATGTATTCATTCATTTTTAGATGACAGGCTTTGAGCAAGTAGACAAAATTGCCATAAAGGGTGAAATATATAAATCTATGAATCATCCAGTTTTTCCTGGTCAGGTTTATCTTCATGATTTCAACAAAACTCATTAAGTATACTTTGAACAATTACACCTGATTTTTCAAACACTAATTAAACAATATCTACATGTTCCTGGACTGCAAGGTGATCAAACCGGTCAATCCTAGATGAGATCAACCCTGACTGCTCTTTAGAAGGCCAGATCCTGAAGTTGAAACTCAAGTACTTTGGCCACCTAATGAGAAGGAAGGACTCACTGGAAAAGAGCCTAATGCTGGGAAAGACTGAGGGCAATAGAAAAATGGGACGGCAGAGAATGAGGTGGCTGGATGGAGTCACTGAAGCAGTAGGCGTAAGCTTAAATGGACTCCAGAAGATGGTAGAGGACAGGAAGGCCTGGAGGAATGTTGTCCATGGGGTCACGATGGGTTGGTCATAACTTTGCAACTAACAACACACTTGTTCCTAGTATTTTAAAATGTATGAAATGCAAAATTACATTAATTCTGCAGAGATCTGTCTCACAAAAATAAATATTGATGTTTTATCTTGGTTTAAGTCCAAAGGAATACAACTGGTCAAACAAGTAAGTGAACAAAAGTTTTTACATATTCTTTTTAATGGGTCATAAGAGTATTAGGCATACTCTTAATACAGAGTCCTTCAAATGCTGAAGAGACAAATGTCTGGGAGTGAACCAAGCAGTAATCTGATAATTACATGGTTCAATCCAGTATAATGGAATTCTGTGTATTTAGTCAACATACATGTCTCTTCATGAAAAATACATAGTTGTGAAATGAAAAAATACCTAAAGATAAAAATGTGTATTACATCTCTGCACCCAAAGTAGTGGTCATAAGGTAAAACACGAAACATATTCAGACTAAGAAGGAACAATTATATATAGAAAGATAAATTTAATATTAACTCAATGGTATTTTCTCATAGTTATAGTACATAACTGCTGGTTTAAACACATTTTATAAAGCCCAATGAATTATTTGTATTGCATTAATATTCTAACTGTAATCTAGTCAACATCTCTGGAAATGGAAAAGCCTAACAGGATAAAATATACATCCCTACTTCATGCTAGAAAATGAATGCCAGTAAAAAGAAATATGTGTTAAATATTGTAGGGGCTCAGGAGACATTTAATAGTAGACAGAATTAGAAATGAAGTTTTTGTTTGCATTTGCAGTTTTCCACACCTATTGCCCTCTATCCATTTTCTTCCACATCCAGTTTACATTGTTAGGGCAGTATCTTTACATAATTTACAAATTTGATTTATAAACAATACATTGACTGGAAAAGAAATTAAGGTTTTTTGGTCTGACAGAATTGACATTTGTATGAATAAGGAGCTTTTGAAACTTTGTGCATGGGATTAGGGTTGAAATACAAATATCAAATTAGCTTTTTTAAAAAAAAAATTAACAACTGAAAAACTTAAGTTTCTTGCCTTTTCTATCAGCCATTTAGAAAAAAAAATTAAAAGTGTTTATAAGTACACTGGCCATGCTGAAACTTCAGATTTTCCTATTACAATTAAAACGTAAATTTGGACAGTTTGGAAGCAAATTCCGATATACCGTTAGGTATTTATTAACCCTATTAAATAAGTCTTTTAAATGCTCTTGTGCATTAAAAATCGGCTTAATTTGCAGCACTAGGATGAATTTTATCAATTAGTAAGGAACTACAAAACGCGAGGCAACTCTTGCATTAATTCCAGTTAGGCTGATTTTTGTTTTTTCTTTTGCATCGAGAGCTTGATGATACTAAGGGGCAAAATGTATGTTTTAAGTGGTTAGTACAGCCTCTCATCCCTGAAACCTCACCTCCACCCACCCACCCAAGAAAGCAGGATATGGCATGAAAATGATATACCCAGGAACCGAAATCTAGGTAGCAAGTTATTCTCCAGAGAGAGCAGTTGAGACGCGCGCAAGGAGTAAGGTTTTCCAGCAGTTTTAGAAACGGTGTCCGTTCCATATCGGAGATTATTTGTGCATCTCTTTTTTTCTCGGCTCGCATCCGTTTCTGAATAAGGGATCTATCGCTTGCAACTTCGGTTGACACCCTCAGTCTCTGAAGCACAAGTTCTTGTCCCTATTCTCCCCCCGTTCCTTGAACGGCAACCATTTTGTCGCGCTCTTCTTCACTTTTGCCTGCCCCCCCTCCAACCCATGACGACAGCATGCGACATCTCCATGACGCGCACCGCTGCGCCGATGGAAGATCGCGTGCGCGTGACGCCTTTACCCGGCCAACGGAGGTCGCGACGCCTTTCGCCGTCTGGGCTCGCCGTTCCGATTTGCGTGCCATGCCCTGGCCCCGCCTTCCCTTGCTGCTATTGCTGCCGCTGCTGCTCTGCTGCCCCGAGCGCTGCACATGCGTAGTACGAGCCGGGGCGTGCGAGCCGGGGGAGTCGAGTTCAGTGTCGCTGTAGCGGGAGACAAAGCAAGTGGGAAAATGAATGGGACCGGGATACGCGAACCTTCCTGTTAACCTCGTCGGCGCCGGCAGGTAGAGAGAGAGGCGCTGGAAGGAGAGGTGAGGAAAGCAAAGACCCGCCCGTGAGGGAAGACGCGCGGTGCTGTCTCCTGCTCCTCCCCCCCCCTTTCCGCCACCGCCGTGGCAGGGACGCTCCCCGCCCGCTGAAATCCTTCCGCTGGGGACGGAGTTCTTTCGTCACCCCACCCCCGTGGCGGGAGCCGGGAGGGTCGCCGTGGAATGTGAGTCGGCCGGACGCAGGAACCAACGCCGTCCGTGGCCCGGATGCGCTGCTCGCTCGCGTGCGCCGGCCTTATTGTTTGAGGGCAGGAACGGAGCCTGGAGAGGGAGTCCCGTGGGTCCCTTCCAAGAGGTGAGCCGGACGACGCGGTCACCGAGATCTCCCTGCCATCTCCTCCTGCCTACCCGCCCCCTGCTTGGGGAAGTCCCTTCGGGAAGGCCCGGAGCCGCCGCACTTTTTTTAATGGTGCAGAACTAATGCCCGGCTTTGTTTCGGCTTCATTTTGTCTTCCCCCCCCACACACACACACACAGAGATCCACGCAGGCCCGCGCTTAACAACCGTCCGTTTGGAGCAGGGCCGCCCCCTTCTTCCAAACAGTGCCTGCCTTTGCCTGCCTCCCTTCAACCGAGGCTTCATCCTTTTTTTTCTTCCTTTTTTGTCCCTTGGCTCCCTCGCTCTCATTTTGACATACTTCATCGCCCTAGAGAGTTATCTCTGGCCATATGGCTGCTGGGGAAACGAGGGTGTTGAGCCATGCTGGGTGGAGCGACACCGCACCTTTCCTTCCATCACCCTTCGTCCTTTGTCAACAACTCAGGGGGACCCTTCGCGTGGCAAAGAGTGCCTGTGTGTGTCTTTTAAAAGCAGGGCAGCTCCCCTTTCCTGGACCAAAGATGAAGATGATTTCTGGGGCCCTGATTAAAAGTCCGGTTAAGAATCCAGATGTGAAGGAAGGACTTTCAGGCCTTATTTCTGTTGATTAGATGAAAAAAAACAACAACAACCCCAGGTTTACCTCTTTCCAGCCAGTGTTTACATAGCAGTGTATGTTTCTGCAGTCCTCAAGTTGTCTCTTTTCAGGTGGAAGAAAGTGCTCATGTAGAGAACTAATGTACGAAGTCACTTTGAAGGACAGAGATTGGAGTGTTAGAAACCAGTCTGATTTTATAAATACAAAAGTAAATCTCCAAATTAAGTCCAGGGCATTTTCAATTTGAATGTCTCACATGTAAAGTTAGTGAAAAATCTTTGATGAGAGCTTTGATGAGGGTAGGTTGTTAGATAAAATCATCAAGAGGATTACTATATTGTTCTAACTGAGCAAATAGAGATAGATCATTTAAAGATACAAGACCCAATGCTTTGATGCAGTCCACAAAATATTCCTGAAGATGCCATACTCACAAAACCGTTTTCTTTTTTTTCTTCAAAAAATCCATAAGAAGTTGCTAGTTATTGATGAAATGACCTTTCTCTAATCAAAGAAATCAGTTTGGCTGTTCAGCAAGTTCTGTCAATTTCACCAACTATTCCTCCATGGTGGGTACTACCTAATCTTTCCATCTATGTGCATATAATAATATCACCACAGTAATCATATATTGAAATAATCTTCCAAGCCTTTTTTCTATACCTTTTGAATCATTCTAATAGCATACATGTGACTAGATCTGTAAGAATTTTAAAGAATGGTTGAGATTATCTGTCAGGAAAAAATAGTTTATTTATGGAGCATATTTTTTCTTAAGTTTTCAATATAAATATCTTACATAATTGTTAAACAGACATTTTTATTTTTCAGGGTTTAAAATTTAGAATGAATGAAATGTGAATTTTTTTCTGTGTGTTGAAATCTAAAGACTGCTACTTCAGAAATATGGGTAAACATTTAGACAAAGATAGTAAAAGATACTTGTTACTGGACTTGGACAAACAAGGGATATACAAAATTACACACTCCATGATCTCAGTCTTGAAAAAAGCAGGTAACTGCTACTAATATATCCTAGCCATATGTTCCTGGACATAGGCACTATAATCAATTAAACCTCCACATACACTTGATTACAACCTGAATTTTAGTAAAATAGATTCGTCACAAATACATAAAGTCTTTTTTTTTTTTTTTTTTTTTTATTAAAAGTTTTATAAATTTTACAAAAAAAAACAAGAACAATACAGAACAAAAAACAACATATACAAAAGAAAAAAAAAAATTAAACAATACATATAAAAAAACCCCCCCCCCCACATAAAGTCTTTTGTCATGTTTGCTCAGAAAAATGTATTGTCTTGCTCAGTAGAGCTTTTGTATAGACAATCTAACCTAGGATTGTAGCCCAGCTGTCTATAATTTTAATTGAATTAGAATTAAATTTAGAAATTAACAAAAACAAAGAATTACATTTCAATATTTTCTTCATAGCTTTTTTATTCAGTATAAATGGCATAAATTAGAATCCTTTCCGGGAAAAAAAGCTTTAAAAATGTTGAAAATATCTGACCTTTCACCATCTTGACTAAATGGCAATGTATATCCAAGAGCGTTAAGACATAGCTATTCTAATTAGCTAACATAAAATGATTGTAGTTAATAATGACTAATACATTCAATTCATGACCAAAAAAAAAGATCAGCTGTGAGAATCTTAGGGATTCTATATAAGCAACTAAAAACATGCAATTACAATCTCAGGATGATTGTGTTTATATTGTAGAATGTGAACTACTTCAGTCCAGGAAAAGTTACGTATATGTGTAGCAAAGGCTACACTTTTTAGCTATATAATTTATAGAAAGTATTCATTTTTGCACTTCATTGTTTATACTATATTCCATTTTTGTCATTCTATTTTCTTGTTTCACCATTTGCACCTTCCGGTTGTTTCTAGATCTTCAATTAAAAGAAGCATCCTTGCATTCTCTAGACAAATATTAGGTAGTAGCTCTGCAATAAATGCAGGTATTCCTCAACATACAACAGTTCATTTAGTGACTGTTCAAAGTTACAACGACACTGAAAAAAGTGACTTATGACCATTTTTTGCACTTACGACCATTGCAGCATTCCCATGGTCATGTGATCAGAATTCAGAGGCTTGGTAACTGATTCATATTTATGATGGTTGCAGTGTCTCAGGATCATGCACCTTTTGCAAACTTCTGACAAGCAAAGTCAATGAGGAAGCCAGATTCAGTTGTGGTACTAACTTAACAACTGTGGTGATTCCCTTAACAAATGTGGCAAAAAAGGTTGTAAAATGGGGCAAAACTCACTTAACAAATACCTCGCTTAGCAACATAAGTTTTGGGTTCAATGGTGGTTGTAAGTTGAGGACTGCCTGTGTAGAGAAACATTGCCTAAATTGACTTATTTTAAAAAGGGGGGGAAATCATTGAGAAGGTAAACATTTATTAATTCAGAAAATAGATCTGCAACTCTTTTTTTTAATACATAACAGTATTTTTTAAACCAACTTCACAAACACCTAATACAACTGTTCTAAGAAAATAATTTCTCAATTTACACAATTATTTTGCATCTATAGTCAATACAGCTACCATAATGGGTTTAATTTGTAGATGAACTTTTATCCTTTCTATATTTTTACAAAAATATAACAACTTTTTGTACTCTACAATATTTGGCATATTAAAATTATATATTAAGCTGATGCATGTATTTACTTCTTAATTATCTTAAATAAATTATCTTAAAATAAAGTGGTGGTGAAAGCCATGTATAATATTAGCTCTAAGTTAGGGGTCCCTAACCCTCTGTCCGTGGACCGGGCCGCAGCATGCCAGCAACCGAGCCGCACAAACAAGCAAAGCCCCATCCATGGGATCGAGGCAGCACACAAAACTATGCACTCTCCGGTCCATGGAAAAACCTTTCTCCGTGGAACCAGTCCCTGGTGCCCAAAAGGTTTGGAGCCTCTGCTCTAAGACATAACTTATAATGATTCTGATAAAAATAAGCTGTAACACAGCTTTGAGCTTGGATGTTTTCCTCCCTACTAGTACAAAAATGACCAAAAGATCTGAAGCTTTTACTTACATATCATAGGTCAACCTGTCAAAACTTTTGCCATTTTTAAACATTTGTATCATTTTAAGCTCTTGCCATAAAGATAGGATATAAATCTAAAGTGAAATAGTTGTATAAAACTTGTATTTTTCTCTTATGAAAAATATGACTAGGATAGTAAGTAGCAATATCTTGTTTGTAATTTCTGAAAATAAGTGTTTAGATTAGGATAAATAATTTGGTATATAAGTATTCTGCCAATAATATTTTCATCTATTAGAAATCTTTTAACTTAAGATAATTATTACTACCTTTAGCTAACATCATTAGACACATATTCAGAAAAGAAAATTAGCAAAGTCAGAAGCAAATCTTGGTACATGAACCAAGCAGTTATAATTGAGAATAAACATAAGCTGCAATAATTCTTTGCCTGGCATATTACAGGTTATTTTGCAGCAAGGTATTCCATAAATTAAAAGCACTATGTACAATTGATTCACAGCAGGAAGGATAATATACCTTGGATAATAAAAGTATTAAAAGAAAAAATGTGGCATTGTATATTGAGTTCAGAAATAAAATGTATGATGTAATAAAATGGATGATGTAAATATTATTTGATCAAAATCAAATACAGGTGCATAGATAAACTGATTAAAACTATCCTTTTAAACTTGGCCCAAATCCAAATATAGTCTTGAATCAATAAGTATTGTAATAGTGCTGTTTTTCATTTTGGTAGCTTAATAAAATGCTTAGAGAATTTTAATTGTTCCAGTATCATAAGAAATCAGGTCAGCCTTTATTAAAAGTTTCTTAAATATTCTACTATTA